AGAGCAGCTATTCTGGTTTGTAATGCTGACATTTTATTAGTGGTAGAACTGTAAGCAAGGCATGGCTGCCTCGGGTTGATTACAGGTAGATACTCTTAATAAGGACAAGTAAAAATCCAACTTTTAGCCAACTTTTCTTTGCTCTGGCTCGGGCCAAAATCTCTGTAATTTTCAGTTTTCAGCCCTGGGACACTACTGTATCACCTCTTCTTTCCTTTTATCACTAAACTAGGTAAGTCATACAGCTGAATGTATGTGCAAACATTTCTGTTTTGCACATATGCTGTACTGTACATATGTATATGAATTCACACAGAACCCCACGTGCAGAATATATTACATTTCTTATATATTATTACATATTTCCTTATTTTTAATTCTGGTTGAATCTCGGAGCCTGGAGGCCACCATTCTGCCACTTTCCTGCAAGCAATTTGTCAATTAATAGATGCAGTTAAGCCAGTGTCACTGAGAGGGTTAGTCACACAGAGCAATCCCGATGACTGCCAACACTGTCGTGTCATCTGACTTGTCTCATACAGGCCTCGGGGCTTCTCTCTTTTTAGAGAAAGAGCAAGGCAGGGAATAAAAGGAGCTGAACCCATACAGCTGAAAAGTCTCAGGTGTGGTGATGCACATTGATAGTGTGTACATAAATGCACAACCAGGCATATGCATCTGTTTAGAGCATATGGTTGGGACAAACCAAGCACAAAACTTTCTTGTGAACATATGTCATCTAAGGAGATTCTCCTTCAACCAGTATAATCCTCAGCATTCTGTGACAAAATCCTACTGGAGCCATAGAGGCTATGTGTGAGAGCAATGCACTGTATATCTCTTGATTGCATTAAAACAGTGCAGAGTGATCTCATCTGTTGACATATTGCTTTGATAATAATAATAATAATACCATGAAGACTGCTGTGTTTATCTGCTATCAATGAAAACAGTGAGTCATGTATATATCTCTGTTTATCATTTATTTGAAAGACAACACTTATAAAAAATTATGTTAATATAACTCTGAGCTTTCACAATTCACCCTGACAACCAAAGCTGTTTGTTTGTGTTAGGGTGATTTTCATTTTTAGATAGAAATGAATATAATTAGTTAGGGTTTTTATTATATAACATACATAAGTTTATATATTTTAACCTCACAGTTGTGTTTATGTTTATGTAGTTACATATCTACATATCACCCTATGTGTTCACTGAATCACTGGTCAGTATTTACTGTGTTAGCCAACTGGAGCACTGTTTAAAATCAAGGGGACTAGTTCACTAAAACACTAAAATTCATTAGATTTACAGCTTTAGCAAAGAGGGTCCACAGTTACTTTATTACCACCACCTGGCTAATAGGCCAGGGGAGTTATAGTTTACTGGGATTCTTTGAATAGTTGGAACAGAGATTAGATCTGAGCCAGGAAGAGGAAGCAACTGTTTCAGATGGCATTCTTTGCATGGCACGGTGTTTTGATTATTAGCATACACCGGATCATTGATATTATGTATCAGAATAGTTGAGCAGCACGCACCAGTTGGGAAGGTAAAGAGGAGAGTCTGACAATGCAGAAACACTATGGCTGTTAGTCAGTAATTTGGTTTATGATCAATAATCTGCTAACAGTTTTATTGTGAGGAGGCTGGTTCACTTTGTATCAAACATGCAGACAGCAACAAATACTGCAGCACTTTTGCACATTGCAAAATATTGAATGATAAATACAGACCATGCCAGTGTTGCTCAGTGGTCAGGTTGCACTTATAGCTCAACGGCTCCGCAGAGCCTGTGACAACTCTTCACCTCAGCTGACACATTTCAAAAAGTCATATGGTATATAACTAGAGCTAAAAATAGTGAGAGCTTTGTGTGGCTGCTGCAAATATGGAACAAGGTGTGGAGACAAAGACATTGTGTAGACCCCCCCAATACACCATACCACCTGTGAGATGGACATGTGCACTGAACCTGCTTTAAATGTGGATTATGATGCTTAGTTTCTAAACATACATTTTAACCTTTATGTGCAATCTGTTATACAGTTTATGTGGCCTTTTTTGCCCAAAGTACTTGTGAACAAACTCTAATATCATGCTGTATATACACACCATGTCTCCCTCTCCAGTGACACTTCAACAGCTTTGATGAACTCAGCTCTTTAACATCAGCACCAATTTGTCAGGGAAATTTTCACTTAATAAGGACTCCATCAATATATTTCTTTTAAGTGAAAAATATGCTGTGCAGCTACTGTACCCATTTTAATTCATAATTAATTTACCACACTGCTGAAGAATATTTGTTCATAAGAGTTTAACTGGGTGAAAGGTCGAGCCCTGTTTCATTGCACCCACTGGACTTCTGATCCGCTGGATGACTAAACTAAACAAACATATTAAATTCACACACAAGGACAGAACTTGTGCATGTGTTTTGCAGTGGCCTGAAAAAGATTATGCAAGATTTAACAAAACAAATTATACTCTGTGAGGAGGTAGTGCACCATCACTCTCTGACTTACGTAGTACAATAAACACCACCCTGTGCTGCTTGTACTGTACAACAAAACAAATGCTGGAATTATTTGTAGTAACCATGCCATCTGTTTACCTGGACATCTCCATGGTGTCCTTGGTGAGATAGACGATCCAGTAGACCAGGTTGAAGGCGCCAAACGAAAGGGGAAAGAGGATGCGGGAGTATTTGTCAATGATGCTAGTGCCAGTCAGGACATTGTTGGCTGGTACAGCTGAACCTTGTTGTAGGAAGGTATGTGCATTGACAGCAGAGTTGGGAAATGTTTTGGCAGGGCGGTCAAACAGCGGAGCAGAATTCATCCTCTTCTTCAGCACGCTACTGGCATCCACCTTGGAGAGGCAGAGAGAAAACATACAGAAATATAAGAGGACATTCACATTAAAGAGAATATTGTATGATGTGATATGATGGTGTTAGTAATGAAACTGGCCCTGTGCTGTACCCAGAGAGTCATAAAAGCATGATATTATATGTGCTAATGTTAAAACTGTTGTGGATATAATGACAAAATGGAGATATCCTTAATGGGTTTCAAAAATCTGTCTTGACATTGATGTCATATTTGCATAGCTCTATGTTGGTCAGGGAACGTGTGTCTACAGAGAACTGTCTATAGCAACGAGCACCACAGTAATTAAGCTTAACAAATGAAATCAGTGATGATTTTCCTTTTGACTGGATGTGACTTTATTCAATCTGTTCCATGAAGACTGTTGTAGCTGTAGGAAACACACAAGAGGTTCACAGTATATCGACACACAGTTATCACTACGTCTCATTGACTTTCAGTGTGAACTCAGCACATGCTTCCTGCTCCAGTACTTGTAAATCAGATACAGTACAGTATGTGTACAGAGCTAAAGGGAGTGTACATGTGGGAAATGGGTCAAGGAACACAGTGTTGCCTGTAGGTAGAGTTAGAGACAGAGAGACTGGAAGAGAGACCAAGCACTTTTTTAAAGCAAAGAAAACTGTATAAAATCTCTATCCTATTTCCATGGTATTCCTAAAACACAAGATCATCCTTCACCATGATAGCTGATAAGGACAGAATGCAACAGTGAGGGATGGAAGTGAAGCCAGGATGCTGCACTATGGTCAAAGAATTTAAAAATCATCCAGTTCTCTTCAGGTTTCTTTAGTGTGAGACATTTCTTAAAGTGATTACAGGAAAACCAACCTTATCAACACTTTACTGAGTTCAGTTGACTTAGGTGAGAATAAATCTAATGGATTGGGTTATGTTACATAAGAGGAGGATCCACTGCCTGCAAGAGGCAATGGGTGCAGTAAATCTAACAGCTGCATCCAGTGGTAAATTCACTCATCTCTGAATTGCAGTGTGTGCCCCTATCTGTTGGTTTTCTGTTGTAACTGGTGTCCAAGAAACCTCTTGTCTCTTTATCCACTGTTCTAGATTTCAACAGATCCACAGCAGTCCTTATGGGGACAAAAAGCAAGTCCACAAAATGTAAATAACTAGATTTAAAAGTGATGGCATGGTTTAAGGTTAGGTGTTAGGCAAGTAGTGTTCGTCCCCTGAAGTGATCGAAACACATGCTATGACAGATGAGAGAGAGATGAGACTACATTAACTGTGTGCTATTAATGCATCTGTCATACAGGTTCATCTCTGTGGGCGTTGATGGGTGTATATATGCTTGTGGATGAATATAAGCAGGTGGTAGAAGTGGGTGTCTGTATATAAATGTACTCTTTATATGAAAGTATTTGAAGCCAGGCAGTCACTATTTTGAATATCACCACTATGACTCTGTATATTAATTAGTTTAGGAAGTAGGAGAATAAAAATAATGGATATTAGTTGGAGTTAAAAATGCAAAGTACGCAGATCATCTTATTGTTACCCTCTTAATTGTGTCTGTCATGTTTATTCATGTATACTCACCACAAATTCTACAAGAATACCAAAAAGTTAGAAATCACAGACAAAATCAAGTACGTTTTACAGTATCCTCAAAATATTTGGCTCCATTCTTAACATACAGTGTACTGTGGAACTAGATTGTGGACTGACATTCAAGAGAACAGTCTGACTACATAACATGCTCTCCCACTTCCTGGTTATGTAAGTTTACTCTCCAACTTTATGAACTAAGGAAAACTAGCCTCTAGCTTGGTGTGACTTGCTCCAGAGGAAGCTATAAAGGAAAAACAATAAAGCTTTCAAAAATTTGGTTTGGCCATATAGTGATCCCCACTGGAACCTTGCACAGAATGATATAATGGTTGCCTGGGGTGAAATTAATGTTTAAAGCAGGTCTGTCTAACTTTTGTTGTGCAGCAGCAATAGTAGCCCCTGCTGCTCTCCAGTCAGTAGTGGCTCTTTCATTTCCCTTGACATGTTTGTTGTGGCCACCTTCCTTTTTGTGGTTTTTCCAACCTTCTTTCTATGTTGTATGGTGGCTGTCAAACTCTGAAGTGACTCACTTCCACCTCCGACTGCTATGGAGTGCATCACTGGTGTCTTTGCTTTTATTTCAGAGGCTTGTTGCTCGCGTAGACACATGATGTCAGTGTCTTGTACTGTAAAGCACTTTGAATTGCATTTCACTAGTTTGAAATGTGCTACATTATATAAAGAAAGTCTGATTGATTGATTGATTGATTGATTGACTGACTGACTGATGACAGTATCTCTTTACCAGCATATTTGATGTCACCTGACCACTTCAGGAAATTAAAAAGTGATAGGATTAAGGTGTATTTAGTACTTTTTTTACTTGCAAATCCAACTTTTGAGTTTTTATGATAAATAATTTACTTTTTTTTTCCATTTTACAGTCTCACTTGGCTGAGCTTGAAGATCATAACAGTCATTCAGCCTAATTATCAGGATGCTGGGACACCAGGACAAATCAGGATGCTTCTTGACCCAGGCGCTGATCGCCGGTCCTATAGCTACCAGCACCTGTGGCTATAAATAAAGTGTTGTTCTTTCTCTCTATCTCCCTCTTTTTTCCTTTATTTCCTCCTACGAATGTTTTATTTTCTGTGAATTTCCTGCACCACATACTGCACCACCTACTCACACACTAACAATGCACGCAGCACTTTTTATACACACTGGTAAACACCCCCTTCCCTTTTTATTTACAGCTGTATATTTGATTTATTAAATGGACCATTAAACTTGTGTTGTTATGAGGTTTTTTTTTTACTTTACAGTCATAACAGGTTGTAGTGTTTTAAATCGTGACTGGGGATGGCTAGTTCTATTGACACACCATTGTTGTTGTTGTTTGTTTTTTTTAATCATATTGTCTGTGTAATGAAGAGTCTTCCCTCCTACATATTTGGTGAAAGCAGTCATTTTCCATGATGCATCCATCCCACTCTCTCTTTCTCTGTGTATCTCTCACGCATACGCGCACATACAACACAAAAACAAACCACTCTGCCCTACACATCCATCTCTCCATCTTGCTCCACAAAATGGACTGGGCCAGCTTTCCCAGGGCCCCTTCCACTCCACTGAGGTGGCTGCCCTCTTCCTTGTGAGCCTGCCATGATCAGCTGGATAATCTATGGCTCTTAGTTCATCTGTACTGTAGCAACATTGTTCACAGGACCACTGGCTATCTCCTCATGTCACTCTCTGTGTTTATCACACATTTACAGGGTGGAATAATGGATTGGGAGAAAGGTATGGATGGATGATATACATACCCTAGATGGGTGGATGGATAAGGCATTGTATAGAGTGATGAGTGAACTGTGCAGAGGTGGATGGAGGGGGCAACTTTTTCTGCACATTATGGTGTGGATATGCATTCTTGTGTAGAAAGATGAGGACAAGGGTAGTGGATAAACTGGAGATTGTGAGGTTTCCAAATCAAATCAAATCAAATCAAATCAAATTTTATTTGTATAGCGCCAAATCACAACAAAGGTCATCTCAGGACACTTTACAAAGTAAGGTCTAGACCTTACTGTTATCAATATTATTACATAGGGAAAACCCAACAAATCAAATGTACTGTATTTGTGGAGAGCACATTTAAGCAAAAAGAGGGATGATCAAGAAATGTTTGTGTGTATGAGGGAGAGGGAGAGAAAGTATGTGTGTGCAGAGAGAAAAGAGTTCTCATGAAGTTCACAGCAGGAGGCTACAGAAGAAGCAGAAAAACGGGGATAATGTTACATGGTGCATTTTTGTGGGTGTGCATGAGTGGGAAGGAAGGATGAAGGAACTGAGGTATCGTATGTATATGAGATGTAAGCAAAAGTGTGTTTTTCTCCAGGATTAGGCAAAGGATGAAAGAGAGACTGTCCACTGTGAATTGTTTATATTGAACATACTGCAAACCTTCTAATCAATATGATTCCAATTTGCACTATAAAGGACATCGGTATATTGGAAAGTCTCTTTCAATTAAGAAGTGATGTGTAGTTTGAGTACAGTAACTGTTACATACAGAAGACTTATCTTAATCAGTCCCTTACCATGAGTTTTCTGATTTTAAACAGAGAACTGGTATTTGCTCAGTATGCTGTAACTCTAGACAGAATTATCTGAATTGATAGCAGGAAAGACAAAGTCAGATCAGTGTCATGTTTCCATCCTATTTGACCTCTCTGACTGAGCAACAAATTACCTGGCACATCTGTAATAATAACCCTGCATTTTCTTAATAAACTGTACCAAAGCCCCAAGTCTCATCACATTACAGTAGCCTGTTCAGTATTTGAGACCATTCACCTGCTCAAATGTACATTAACACTCGAGTCATTTATCAATGCATGCAACCCCAACAAGTTTGTAACAGTGAGGCAGACTTACTGCAGAAACCTCTCCATCATTCCCTGTGGTAGCAGCTGGAGCTGCAGCAGCAGCAGCTGCCGCCGCCTCCTGAGCTGCTGCCTTCATGGCAGCTGTCTTCCGCTGCTCCCGGTTGGCCTGCAGGGTGGAGAAGTAGTTGACGGCCGCAAATTCAATCAGGGCAGAAAAGACGAAGGCAAAGCAAACAGCAATGAACCAGTCCATGGCTGTGGCATAAGAAACTTTGGGGAGGGAGTGGCGGGCACTGATACTGAGCGTTGTCATTGTCAAGACTGTGGTGATACCTGCACACAGGGATGAGAAAGAAGTTAGGAACATGCTGATTGTGGATGATGATTATGGTACATTAGCACTTAAGTAGGAACAAAAAAAAAAAACTGCAGCATCTCTTTGAGAATTGCCATTTAAAGTCTCTTAGTAAAACATCAATGAAATGTTTGAAACCTTTATTTTTTTCTTTATACTTTACCAAAGATGACGTAAAGAGGTGTAGTTTATCAGATCGCAATATTGCAGAGCACATACAAAGCTAGTTCCTATGTCTTAACATGAACCATAGTGGATTACTGTCGTCCATGTCAGAAGCTATTGGTACTATTACAGAGTGATGTAAGGGTTGATCTTCTAAAATACTGGTGTATTTCTATTAGCTACTTACTGAAGAGACATTTAGATTTCCTGAAGACTCGCTTTGTGAATAAAATGAAAGGCAGTTCTGTTTATAAAGCACATTTTACACACTGAGACAAAAAAAAGAGCAAACAATGTATAGTTCGTGAGCTTGAAATATTGGTCACGATGTAGTGTCATGTGCCAGTTAGGTTCTTCAAAAAGGCTACATTTGAATTTTCATGTCTACTCTTTCACTGGAATGTCAGGGTAATGTGAGACATAATTACATAGAAACTGAAGCTTTGGAAAACGTGTTCTGTGTTGATAATGGTAGACAGTAGATATGATGGTACAGGCAATGTCAAAAAGCTAACTTTTATAGGATGATACACAAGATCAATTGTAAAGCTTGCACACAATGTTGGATAATTCCCAATGATTTAAACAGACTCTTGAAAAAAAATTCTTGTTTAAGATTACATATTAAGGTAATAAGCATTAGCTTGTTTATACTGTAGCACAACATAAAGTAACAAGTGTTCAACACAATTTTATGTAACAAATAATGAAAGAATGCTAATGCTTCATAGTGATTTTACGATTCTTTGACACATGGCAGCAGTTCTGATTCATGGCATAGAACTACAATACCTGGTCATGTGGCATTTGAGCCCAGTAAGGTTTGCCAAAGAAATCACTTCAGGGGATACTAATCCCTCTATAAGCAGACTAACCCATGCCCTCGCACTGGCACACCAATAAAAGAGACCAAATACCTGTAAATATTCTTGAGGAAGGCATCCAGTAAGATGACCAGGTAAATTCCACAAAACCTTTGCTAACATTTGTTCATTTTTAACACATTTTTCACAATACAAGCTATGGCTGACATGAGAGAAAGTGGATGTGGGCAAAGATGAAGATAACGGATAAAAAGAGAGATGTAGATAAATGTGTCAGTGGATAGGCGGCAAAGTGAAAGCAACTTTGTTTTTGATATCGTTCTCAGCTGAAGTGAGACTGCGCTGTCCTTAAAAAAGTCTGTCAAACATTTGTCTATATTTCTTTCCCTGAAACACAGACTGCCAGGATCCCTTCAACACAGCAGAGAAAACTACATAACAGAGTGTAGACTGAGGAGCTGAGGCCATTCATGAACTGTCTTGTTTACGTGACCTTTTGTGGACCACACAAAAAGTGAATTTCTGAGGCACTTCTATGTAATTCTATGAAAAAAGAACAATACATATCAAGTGCAGTTTTGCCATTAGAAAAACACCTCCTATTAATATTCAGTAGATCTGTCTTGCCCAAATTCAATCCTTATTAAGACAGATAAAGATTAGCATCTCCTTTAATGGTCCATTAACAAACTGCATATCTAATTCACTTTCATCAAACTAAAGCAAGAGGGGAAAAGAGCCACTGAACACTGATCCCCATGCTTTAACCAAATGTGTGCTGTAGTTGTGCAAATTTCATTAGCAGGCTGGGAAGTTATGTTGGATTTAAAACGCCTCATAATGTCTTAAAAGCACTGTCTGCACACCACTTAAGTCGTGAAAGGTAGCAACCTCCTCTGATAGACAACTAACATTGTTTCAAGCTCAAGCATAAGTTAAATGATTGCAGAGGCAGAGTGGGGACATGGGATGAAAGCCTGCCAGGTTGGGAGGGAGCGGTAAAGGAAAGAGAACTGAAAGGATGGAAAAAGTATAGGAGGGAGGGGGATGAAGTATAAAGAGATGATAGAAAGGAAATGCTTAGGGCATTTGCTTTCATAGAAAAAAGCAAAGTACAAATTAGGCCACACTCAATTAAGTCTGTGAGACTTGTGCTCAAGGGATTTTCAGCTTTTAAAGAGGCTGTTCAATCCAGTGTGCAACATTCTGTGGCCTCATATACTATCAGGGTGGAAATGTATCTCCTCTCTTCTCCCTCATATTCAGCTTTCTGTCTCATATGCACTATCTACAGCATTAAATGCACTCAGATAATGACTATGACTATAAATATGCAACAACATGCTGCAACTCCAAGTACTTCAAGAGCTCCAAGCAAGGCAATTTAAAGAAACAAACCATGTCACTGGTTATATATGCAGCTTGGTCTTTTATACATTCTATTTTTTTATTTAAATTACCTCTATGCATTGTGCACTGAGTGTCACAAAGAGCTGCCTTTTAACAATAGCCATTGGAGAGAATGAGCGGGTTTTTTATGCTATATCCAACGACGAGTGAGATCATTGAGTCGCCACAGGTGTGCTTTCCACATGGGGCTTCAACTTCCATGCTAACACTAATGATTGGAATCTATTCTTTGAAGAAGTGTGCAGGCTAGTGAGAGTGCTGGCTCCCTTCCAAAGACAAGTGCAGACCACAGAGTCATAATCTTCAAGGGCCAGCTTTAGATGCATCTTGGTGAACTCAAACATTAAGGAAATCCAAATTAAAAGGACTGAAATGTCTAAACACTTTTGCACAATTTCCCCATGTTTTTCTCTGCAC